GTATAGTGAGTGTAGAGAACCAGATACCTATCATTTTTACTGGAAAAGAGGCATTAGATCTTAGTCCTCACGGGTGATAACGTCTATGGGTTACAGCAACCACTTACCATCAGGTGGAATGTGTGCTCGTTTGTCACCCTTTTCCTATAAAAAAATATTTTGGTACGTGAATACACTTTGCAAATTCACCTTCTGGAACCTTCTTATAAGACATCTTTGAATCTTCCATGTTGTCGCAGTAATATATGTTATCTTTTTATGTATTTGATAGTTTTTTGCTACTAAGTATATTATTGCCGTGTAGTGGCGGTCAAGAATATCCACTACCCCATATCCTCCCGTGGGTGTCGTAAAAGGCGACAAAGGGAAACAGGCAGGTGATGGGCAGCAGCATCTTCTTGATAACAATAATCTAACAATAAAAAAAAAACTGCGGTTGCCAACCCGCTCGCCAAGCGTGGCAACTATGGCAAATACCCCCCTATGAATGACAGTAACAAAGAAAGGGCCCCCAGTCCCCGGCGGCCCCGCTATTCCTGGCTACGGTGGCGACCATGGTAACGGCGGGGCAGGGGGTGCTAAGAATCTCCGGTGGAGGTTCGGTTGCCACTTTAGACGACTCGACCTGGCAACGTACAACGCACGCACCCTGAGGACTGACGAGAAGATCGTGGAGCTGGAAGAAGAGATAGACAAGTTGCGCTGGCATATTATAGGATTATCCGAAGTCCGAAGAGAGGGGGAGGATACGGTAATCCTCGAATCCGGCAACTTGCTCTATCACCGGGAGGGCGACCATCTGTCCCAAGGAGGTGTCGGATTTATCGTCCACAAGTCTCTCGTTAACAACGTTGTAAAGATCGGGAGTGTGTCGACGAGGGTTGCGTACCTTATACTCAGAATCACCAAACGGTATTCGCTGAAGGTCATACAGGTTTACGCACCAACCTCGGCACACCCCGATAAGGAGGTGGAGGAAATGTATGAGGATATCTCTAGAGCCATGCATTCCTCCAAAACCCAATATACGGTGTTAATGGGAGACTTCAATGCAAAACTAGGCACAAGAGAGAACGGTGAGCTGAAAGTAGGGAAATTTGGAACAGGGCAACGGAACCCAAGGGGCCAGCTGCTGGCCGACTTCATGGAGAAAGAGGGACTCTTTATGATGAACTCTTTCTTCCAGAAGCGGCCCCACAGGAAGCGGACCTCGTCGAGCTCCGACGGTTCGACAAAAAATGAGATTGACTTCATTATGACGGCCAAACGACAACTGTTCAGTGATGTCTCAGTGATCGCGAGGGTGAAAACTGGTAGCGATCACCGAATGGTTAGAGGCACACTGAACCTAAACGTTAAGTTGGAGAGGTCTCGTCTAATGAAGTCAATGCTCCGTCCCCCTCGTGCTCTGTTCCAAAGTCCCGAAACCTTTCAGCTCGAGTTACAAAACTGTTTTCAGTGTTTAGAAGACTGCAATGAAGTGGACGATATGAATGACAAGCTCGTGGAAACTGTCCATGCGGTCGGAGCTAAGTTCTGCAAGACCCGCCGCAGAAGAACACAAAAACTCTCCGATCACACTCTTAATCTCATGGCTGTTAGACGGGAGATGAAGCTACATTCTTCAACAGACTTGACAGCATACAGGCATCTGAACAGACAGATCTCCAAATGCATGCGGCGGGACTTACGCAACTTCAATACAGCTCGTATTGAAGAAGCGATCGAGCGGAACCAAGGCTCCAAAGTCTTTGCCAGAGATCTGTCTGCCAGAAAGAGCCAACTGTCAAAGCTGAAGACAGAATGTGGCAGCATCGTTTCCGGGACACCTGAGATTTTGAGAGGTTCTATGGGCAGTTGTACACGTCATCGTTGGAGCCACACGCAAGTGTGAGTAACGATCCAAGAGCGAGTCTCATCCGACACTATTCCGAAGATATCCCGGACGTCAGTCTGAGCGAGATTAGAGTGGCTCTCCAGCACCTTAAAAACGGTAAGGCCCCAGGCGAGGATGGAATTACAGTGGAGCTTCTGAAAGCGGGTGGAAAACCGGTACTTGAAGTCCTTCAGAAGCTCTTTAATTCCGTCCTCCATGGTGGCATTACACCGGAGGCGTGGAGCAGAAGTGCGGTGGTCTTGTTCTTCAAGAAAGGTGACAACGCTCTCTTGAAGAACTACAGACCGATTTCCCTTCTGAGCCGCGTCTACGTGCTGTTTTCGAGAGTCATTACGAATCGTCTCGCGCGCAGACTTGACGACTTCCAGCCTCCCGAACAAGCCGGTTTCCGAAAGAGCTTTAGCACAATAGACCACATACATACCCTTCGGCAAATTGTACAGAAGTCCGAAGAGTACAATTTGCCACTATGTCTGGCGTATGTGGACTATGAGAAAGCCTTTGATTCCGTCGAAATTTGGGCGGTGCTGCAGTCCCTTCAGCGGTGCCAAGTTGACAAGTACAGAACCAGAGTACGAAACCTATCCAATTGCAGAGAGGTGTAAGACAGGGTGACGTCATATCCCCGAAACTCTTCACCGCTGCATTGGAAGACGTTTTCAAGCTTCTGGACTGGAAAGGATACGGTATCAACATCAATGGAGAGTACATCACTCACCTTCGATTTGCCGACGATATAGTCCTTATGGCAGAATCGCTGGAGGACCTAAGCACTATGCTCAATGACCTCAATAGTGTTTGCCAACGGATAGGTCTTAAGATGAACATGGACAAAACTAAGATCATGTTTAATGTCCATGTCACACCTATGCCGGTAGTTGTTGGGAACACTAAGCTCGAAGTTGTTGACGAGTATGTTTACCTGGGACAAATAGTCTGACTAGGTAAGTCCAACTTCGACCGAGAGGTCAATCGACGGATTCAACTCGGTTGGGCAGCGTTCGGGAAATTACGGCACATCTTCTCGTCAGGTATACCTCAAACCTTGAAAACGAGACTGTACACCCAGTGCGTGTTGCCAGTGATGACATACGGAACTGAGACGTGGTCCTTCACTGCTGGCCGGATGAGGAAGCTCAAGGTCGCTCAGCGAGCTATGGAGAGGGCTATGCTCGGAGTTTCTCTGCGTGATAAACTTAGGAATGAGGATATCCGCAGTAGAACCAGAGTAACCGACATAGCCCAACGGATTAGTAAGCTGAAGTGGCAATGGGCCGGCCATATAGCTCGAAGAACCGACAACCGATGGGGAAAAAAGGTTCTCGAGTGGCAGCCTCGTACCGGTAGGCGAAATGTAGGGCGTCCCCCCACGAGATGGAGTGACGACCTGGTAAGACATGCAGGAAGTCGATGGATGCAGGTGGCTCAGGACCGTGCTTTGTGGCATTCTTTGGGGGAGGCCTATGTTCAGCAGTGGACTTGTGAAGGGCTGTAATGATGATGATGATGAAGTATATTATTTATTTATGTATTAGTACTTATAGTTAGGTATATTAAATAACTGATGCGTTCGTAATGAAAAATAAGAGAGCCAGTATAACTATAAGCAGTGAAGCATTTCATGTTAGTTTTCGAGGATGACAAGGCATCTGTACAATCACAGTGTGATGTTGTGCTGTCAGATAACGAAGTACATTTTACTTGGTTAAAATGAATTTGGGCCAAGACCAAAAATTCTTGTGTTAATAAACGTATCATGATTTACACGGTAAAATCACACTGCAGCTAAGCTGCAGCACGAATAATATTACTGTTAGGTATGATGAGTGTAAAGAACCAGAGACCCTTTTTACTAATAACTAGGCAGTCCGTTTTAGTTCGCAGGGGTGACAACGCATCTGCAATTTGATTCTTAATCAAGGATAGATGTAGGTGTCTATGGAATGTAATACCCACTTGGCAACAGGTGGACAATGTGCTCTTATTCTATAAAAAAACGCGTCGACAGGTTCAATCTAATGAGGGCTAATAATCTTCTGCTCACCAGATGTCGCTAGTTGACAATGAGGTCAAGTTTTTTTGTTACACAATGACATTTCATTAAGAAGTTAGTAGTTTTAAATAAAAGCTTATGAGTTTCTAGAGTAATAAATTAATACACAAAGCAATGCCTCAGTGGTCTGCTGTTTAAATTTTTGCACATTATTAACTTTTTTCTTTTTTTTTACTTTTATGAATATTTGAGGTTTGATTTTATTTATTTTTAATCTACATCATTACCATCATCGTCATCATTACATCCCTTCACAAGTCCACTGCTGAACATAGGCTTCGATCAAGGAATGCCACAAAGCACTGTCCTGAGCCACCTGCATCCATCGACTTACTGCATGTCTTACCAGATTGCCATTCCATCAAGTGCGGGGTTAGTTACTTTTAATTTTTAAACCAATTAATATAAATTATAACTAATAGTAAATAAAAAAACATTTACCTTTACATTTTCCGAACAAATTAACTTCCCCGCTATGAAATCTGTCAAATATTACAGGTACATCATATCTAAGTGGCCCTGGCCCTGGTGTCAAAAAAAGATGGATCATGGATGCTGTCATTGCTTCTAAAACGAAGCTATATAACATTATTTTTGTTTAAGTCGACATCTGGTATTCTTGTGTAGGGCAGTTTTTATACTCATTGGTGGTAGTAGCTTAGCGAGTGAGTTTTTTTTTTTATAGAAAAATATTGACACACGAGCACACAGTCCATTTGATGGTAAGTGAACGCTGTGGCACATAGATGAAGAATCAAAAAGCAAATGCGTTGTCACCCCTGAGGACTAAGATGGAATGCCTCGTTTCCAGTAAAAAGGATCTCTGGTTCTCCGATCGATCCATTCGTGCCTACAACTTTATAGCTGCAGCATGGCTCTAGATCACCACACCTCGGGGGAAGCCAGTTAACCAAGCTGGCTAAGATTAGTATGTATTTCTCAGCATGTTTCCAGCGCGACGCTGCATGTGACACCGTACTGATTGTCTGTGCTCGATTTGATGAGTAACGAAAGCTTAACATGTCGTTGTTTGTTAACGCGTGGCGGCAGTGCCTGGACCACATCTCGGGCGCGATGATAAACCCAACGGTGACGCTGGCGGCGGTGGTGGCAGGGCGGCTGAGCGGGGCGCGCGGCGCGCTGTACGCGCTGGCGCAGGCGGGCGGCGCGGCGGCGGGCGGCGCGCTTCTGCGTGCCCTTGCGCCACGTGCCGCCGCTTGCTGTCGCACTTGCCCCGCACCGCACGTCTCGCTCGCACAGGTACTTTCCACAACAGCGTTTCTCAAACATGTAGCCCTACGCACCTCTATTAAATTTACCAGACACGCCATTGTCTATCTACCTAAAAACAAAAATAACGGTTCTTTATTTTTAAAATACTAGCATACGCTACTTGTTGAGCTACGACGATCCTTTGTCCTATAAAAATTCTTAAATTCGCAATAAAACATACGAGCTAACCTTTTTTTTATTCATAGAAAAAGGGCTTTGTCGCTGATACAATTATGCCGCCCTGGTAGTTACAAAAAAATCTTAAATATAATTACTAACAAATAAACTTATTATGTTTACTAGTAATCTCTTATTAACTAACAAATACAGTTTTTTGGCATCATCTGATAACGGGGCGGATAAAATACTATTACTACTACCAATTAAGGACAAATGTAGATTACAATTTGCTCTTTCTCTTGAGTTCTGGGCACATTCTATCAAAATGTGATAAGCATCATCGATAATATTACAAATTGAACAATGTGGTGAGGTAATTTTTCGCATCAAGTGTAAAAATTTATTGCATGGAATGTGTCCAGATCTGAGTCTTAATGCTGTTACAGTGTCGCGTCTACACAATAGTCTGTTATCTATCCAGGTTGATCGCATTGGGTGCGTCTGGATCGTACGGTACCATATACCCTTCTATTTTGATCTTTCGTCAAAATACTTACCAGAGATCATAACAATATTTTTTCAATAAATTTTGAAACGAAGGGGTAATATCAATGTCAATGCCGTCAGAGATAGCTTGCTTGGCTAAGATATCAGCTTTCTTATTACCATCTAAGCCAATATGTAAATATACTATTCTGGAATCAGCCTGTAACTTAACTAGAAGCTTAAAAATCGCATATGCTAATGGTAAGCCTCGGAAAACCGAAGTATACCGAGCAAAGTGTTGAAGCGCACTCCTTGAATCTGTTAAAATAACGACATTGCTATAATTGTTTGATTGTGTATGGGATAGGATAAAGCTTCATAGATTGCCACAAGCTCAGCTTCCATTATTGAAATACTCCCATTGATTTCTAACTTTATTGCCATACCGTGCAGTATATCGTAAAATGAAGCCCCGATAACGAAATTATCTTTCGAACCATCTGTAAATATCTTCAGGTAAGTTGGGTACCTACTGTCCGTTTAGGTAATTAACACACCTTGAAAACAAGGTCAATCCATGGTATTGATGTTTAGGGCTTAGGACTCCATCTATATTTGGTCTTAAAAAATCTGAAAGGTTTAAACTAGTGATCCACCGATCCAGAGAAAACATACCTAACTCTGAATTTGAATATATAACGAGTGATTTGAACTTATCATGGAGTATTGTTAACAGTGGTCTTTTCTTATTATTCCAATACCTATTTTGAATGACATCTGATAGGCTAGAGATAAGATTAATGGAAGAGTTATTGAATAGGGATTTATTTTTTAACCAGAAACGAGCAAATCTTGCAGTAGTCGCATATGATGTGTAACATCTGACATCTGGCCGTGGTAATAAGCAACATTAACATTTTATCCTGAAAAAAGCTATTTAGTTTTTTTAATCAAAATTAAAAATATTATTTGAGCATCGACAGAAATTAAGCTCAAAATTAAAAAAGCTAAATACTGATATTTATTCGAACAAGAATACTTAAAATCATAGTTCCAAATAAAATAAAAAATAAAATCCGCGATGACGTCAGTGGTCTTTTCAAACACTGTAAAATTTTACCAATACATATACAAGTATTAAACATTTTATTAAAAGAACAATTTTTTAATCAATCGCTAAGAAAACCGATCGAGCATTCTGTATACACTCGAGCAATTTCTAAGAACCGTCTCATCGAGCCGCGTGCTTGCAATGCGTACGGTGAGCGGACATAATACCTCGGCTTATCAATAATATGCCGTCAGAATTGTTGGATAATATCAATAAAAATAACATTAAGTGTAAGTTAAAGGATCATTTTCTTAAGTTATTATAACGTGTTTTCTGATATATATTTTTCTCTGAATGTTTGCATGTTTTTTTTTTCTTTTTACAGTATCTTTAATACAATATTACGCTATTATCTTATAAAATTGTAAACTCTCGATAACATAGATATAAACCTTAGTGGTTTTTTATATGCTATCACTATAAATATTTGTAATGCTTGTTGATGTGATAAATAAATGAAAAAAAAAAACATATTGAGGAGCAAGCATACACGTTTATAAAATTTCACTGAAATCGGTTGAGTGATTTTAGTGATTAGCGTTAACGAACATTGTGATACGGAACTTGTACATATTATTAATATGCAGTCACAAAGGACTTAACTTAATGAAATGAAATGAAAACTCATAATGGTAGTGGCTATATACGCTAGGGTGTACCTGACAGATTTACCTGTACAGTTGAACTGTAAAGGTAAGCCAGAGTGTTCTCTACTCAGCTCAAGCTGACCTGATGGATAACTGTACAGCCAAACCTGACACTCTAGCCTAGCATGTGTGGCTAGCGTTGTCACACCTGAGAACTAAGATGGAATGCCACGCTTCCAGTAATGAGTCTCCGGTACTCTACACTCACCAAACGAAATACAACAGCATTAGGCTGCTGCTGCTAGTTTACGTTTGTATTCTGTAAGAGCGTGGGCCTTCCCCGGTCGAGTCGATCCATTCGAGCCACAACCATAATATAGCTGTAGCGGGGCTCTACCCCGTACACGTGACTCTACTACGTACACGCGGCTCTACACGTGAGTGTGTGTGTATGTGTCAGGCGGTGTGCGTGGAGGCCGCACTAGGAGCGGTGCTGGCGCTGTGCAACTGCGCGGCATGGGACGCGCGCAACCGCCGCCTGCTCGACTCCTGGCCGCTACGCGTTGGGCTCACCGTCACCGCCCTCTCGCTCGCAGCGGTAACGTGCGATTGCCAACTAGTGATATATTTTTATGGAAGAGAAAGCTAACGAACATGCAGCTCACCTGATGGTAAGTGATCACCGTCGCCCATGAACACCAGTTGAATTGCAGTAACTAGGACTTCTCCTGTACCGTGGAGGCAGTTACATACATTAATTGCAGAAGAACAAACACCCAGACCCGTAACAATTATTTGTAGGCTATACAAAAACCTGTTACGTGATTTGAAAATGTGATCCCACAGTCCTGCCGTCAAATTTTAGCAGCTTAGTCATTACTTGTAGGCCGTACAAGAAGATGGTCAGCAGCATCTTTCTGACAATAATAAAATAACAATTAAAAAAACTGTGGTTGCCAACCCGCACGCCGAGTGTGGCAACTATGGCAATATACCCCCAATGAATAAAGTTACCAAGAAACGGCCCCCAGTCCCCGGCGGCCTTGCTATTTCTGGCTACAGTGGCGACCATGGTAACGGCCGGGCAGCGGGTGCTAAGAATTTCTGGTGGAGGTTCGGTTGCTACCTACGACGACTCGACCTGACAACTTATAACGCGCGCACCCTGAGGACTGACAAGAAGATCTTGCAGCTGGCAGATGAGATAGACAAGTTGCGCTGGAATATTATAGGATTATCCGAGGTCCGAAGTGGGGGGAGGACAACGTAATCTTCGAATCCGGCAACTTATTCTATCACCTGGAGGGCGACCATCTATCCCAAGGAGATGTCGGGTTTATCGTCCACAAGTCTCTCGTTAACTACGTTGTAAATATTGGGGGTGTTTCGACGAGGGTTGCCTACCTTATACTCAGAACCACCAAACGGTATTCGCAGAAGGTCATACTGGTTTACGAATCAACCTCGGCACAACCCGATGAGGAGGTGGATGAAATGTATGAGGATATCTCAAGAGCCATGCATTTCTCCAAAACCCACTATACGGTGTTAATGGGAGACTTCAAAGCAAAACTAGGCACAAGAGAGAACGGTGAGCTGAAAGTAGGGAAATTTGGAATAGGGCAACGGAACTCATGGGCTGGCCCCTGCTGGCTTCATGGAGAAAGAGGGACTCTTTATGATGAACTCTATTTTTAGAAGAACCGTCGAGGCTCGACCAGGCCCCACAGGCAGTGGGCTTGATCGAGCCCCGACGGTTCGACAAAAAAATGAGATTGACTTCATTATGACGACTAGACGGCAACTGTTCAGTGATGTCTCAGTGATCGCGAGGGTGAAAACTGGTAGCGACCACTGAACGGTCAGAGGCACACTGAACCTATACGTTAAGTTGGAGAGGTGTCGTCTAATGAAGTCAACGTTCCGTCCCCCTCGTGCTCTAATCCAAAGTCCCGAAACCTTTCAGCTAGAGTTACAAAACCGTTTTCAGGGCCTAGAAGATTGCAATACAGTGGACGACATGAACGACAAGCAAGAGTTTTTGTTTTATTAAGAATTCTCATGTATTATTAAGAAATTTCATGGATTTTAGACAGGAAATGAAGCTGCAGTCTTCAGTAGATTTGCTAGCATACAGGCAACTGAACAGACAGATCTACAAATGCATGCGGCAAGACTAACACGACTTTAATACTGCTTGTATTGAAGAAGCAATCAAGCGGAACCCGGGCTCCAAAGTCTTTGCTAGAAATCTGTCTGCTAGAAGGAACCAACTGTCAAAGCTGAAGATCGAGTGTGGCAGCATCGTTTCCGGGACACCTGAGATTTTGAGTGAGATTCTGTCTTGTCTCAACATGGGTGCCACTACACCGCAGGCTTAGAGCGGAAAAGGGGTAGTCTTGTTCTTCAAGAAAGGTGACAACGCTCTCTTGAAGAACTATATACCGATTTCCTTTCTGAGCCGCATATACGTGCTTTTTTCGAGAGTCATTACGAATGTCTCGCCTGCAGGCTCGACGACTTCCAGCCTCCCGAACAAGCTGGTTTCCAAAGAGGCTTTGGCACCATAGACCACATACATACCCTTCGGCAAATTGTACAGAAGTCCGAGGAGTACAATTTGCCACTATGTCTGGCGTATATGGACTATGAGAAAGCCTTTGATTCCGTCGAAATTCGGGTGGTGCTGGTCCCTTCAGTGGTGCCAAGTTGACTGTCGGTATATCGAAGTGCTGAAGTGTTTGTACAGAAGGGCTACGACTACTACCCGAGTACTGAACCAGAGTACGAAATCTCTGATAATGTATAACGTCCATGTCCTACCTAAGCCAGTAGTTGTTGGGAGCACTAAGCTCGAAGTTGTTGACGAGTATGTTTACCTGGGATAAATAGTCCGACTAGGAAGTCCGACTGAGAAGTCAATCGACGAATTCAACTCGGTTGGGCAGCGTTCGGGAAATTACGGGACATCTTCTCGTCAGGTATACCTTAAGCCTTGAAAACCAGACTGTACAACCAGTGCGTGTTGCCAGTGATGACCTATTGAACTGAGACGTAGTCCTTCACTGCTGGCCGTATGAGGAAGCTCAAGGTCGCTCAGCGAACTATGGAGAGGGCTATGCTCGGGGTTTCTCTGCATGATAGACTTAAAAATGAGGATATCCGCAGTAGAACCAGAGTGACTGGCACAGCCCCACGAATTAGTAAGCTGAAGTGGCAATGGGCCGGCCATATAGCTCGAAGAACCGACAACCGATGAAAATCGGTAGAAGTAAGTATAGGGTGGCTCCCCACTAGATGGGGTGACGACCTGGTAAGACATGCAGAAAGTCAGTGGATGCAGGTGACTCAGGGCCGTGCTTTGTGGCATTCCTTGGGGGACACCTATGTTCACCAGTGAACTTGTGATGGGCTATAATGATGATGATGATGATGATGATATAGAAGTGACATTCTATCAGTGTTCTTTAATATTTCTATATACAATACAATACGGTACAATACAAGCAATATAATACAATATCTACATTTCAGGCTGATGGCTGGCGCCATGGTCCTTTAAGCCGAATTGCATTAATAGGCTTTTACTTGGACATGGTCCATGTCAGGATGGGACCATATGGTGGTGTGATCGATAAATACACGATATACTAGGGTATATCGTTTATTACAGTACACACCGAATCATACACTGTAGATCATACACAATACAAATTATTCTACGGCTCATAAGATTGCCATGTGCATCAAATAACACCGTGACACAAACAACGCCCAACGCCATCTGTTGCACAAACTAAGTTACTTCGTACATACCGCCTACAAAGGGCAATAGTGCCGATTGTCCTTATTTTATTGACACGCCATCTATCGAAAGCCATGAGATCTTTCTGTAATTTACCCTAGACATCTCTTTCAACACCCACAGAGCGAAGTGTGGGGTGAGAGATTTTTTTCTATAGAATAAGGGTGACAAGCAAGCATACAGTCCAACTGATATTATTCTCCGTCACGATTTAAAATGCAGATGCATTGTCACCCTTGACTAACTTGGAATGCCTTGTATATAGTAAAAAGGTCTTCGGTTTTCTACACTTACAAACGAAACACAGCAACATTAGATTGTGATATTCTGTGAGAGTGTGGTTCTCCCCGGGTCGAGCCGATCCATTCGTGCTACAACCATAATATAACTGCAGAATGGCTCCACATTGAACTAAGTACCAAGAAATATTTCCATGCTGCCATTGCATTAATTGTGCGGCTCCCAGCACATGATAGGACGAGCAGCTCATGTTGGTACTCTCCGCAGGGCGAGCTTACGGGTGCCAGCATGAACCCGGTGCGCAGCCTCGCGCCCGCACTCTACAGCGGGGACTGGACTGCGCAGTGGGTGAGTCTGACTGATTGTACACAGTATCTTATAAATAGTTGACAGTGTAGATAGCCCACCGTTACAGCCAATAAAGTCCACTGCTGAACATAGGCCTCCCCCATAGATTGCCTCGTAGGGAGACTTTTGCCATAGTTGCCAATCTTGGCAGGCGGGTGCCCGAACGCAGTCTTTTATTCTTTATTTTAAGTTGTTATCAGGAAAATACTGCTGCCCATTTACTGTTTCAGTTTCCGTCTGTCGCCTCTTACGATACCCACTGGACGATATGGGGTAGTTATCCACTACATCTTACACTGTGTGTATAGCATGCTAATCTCTTATTGAAGCACCGCATAATATATTTATATTTTGTTCTCTTTTCTGCTCAAGCAACGGCGGTGGTTTCGGAACCGTACGCCCTTCTTATATTTCATGGTAAAAAAAACTGGTTTCAATAATTTCTCTTGCAATCATCACTTAAATCACTAACTGTAACCTTATGTGTGACTAGACACTGAAGGATAACTTTATAAGTAGGTGCTTTAGCGACTAAATGTAATTTTGAGAGTAGAATATAATCGTACAAGATTAGTTGCTCATCGCATGGAAAATTGTATCGCACAAATCGGTATAACTTTGTTGAAAATTAATAATAATAAAATATACTGCGATCGCCAAGCTCATCGATTATAAAGAAACTGCCTTATATGGATGAGGTTTATTTTCAGTAGTAAATAAAGAATAATTTGAAGAATAATAATAGATAATGTCAATTGATGACGTTATAATATTGACACCTTACATATTTATATCCCATTATATCATTACTGCCTATAAAAGACCATTGCTGAACATAGGCCTACCCCCATTGATTGCCTTATAGGATGGATTTTACCACAGTTGCCACACTTGGCGGGTGGTTCTCAACCAGTTTTTATAATTTTGAGTTGTTATCAGGAAGATGCTGCTGCCCATCACTTTTTTCAGTTTCCTTTTGTCGCCTCTTACAACACCCACTGGATGACATGGGGTAGTGGATATCCTTACATCGCCACTACACGGTATATATATCTGTATTTACAACCTCATAAATATAGCACGTTACATTTCTGTATATAGCACGAATAGCTTGGCTCGTCTCGAATGGGATTATCACATTGTCACACAATACTAGCGTGAAATAGCAGCTTAATACTGCTGTTTTTCAACAAAGCATTCTTTACATAATGATTTCTTATATTTACGCAAACACTACACATTGAATAAAACTACTTTTACGGCTTTTATCGCGTTTAATTAACTTATTTTATATTTCCGACGTTTCGGTTGCTTTCCAGCAACCGAAACGTCGGACCAAAATCGGACCAAAATTAATAATTAAAAAATCTGAAGGTACTCCGGGTTAACTCTGACATCGGGACGTCAATCACCTCAGTCCGCAGTGACCACGGTTGCTGAAAAGCAACCAAAACGTCGGGAATATAAAATAAGTAAATTAAACGCGATAAAATCCGTAAAAGTAGTTTTATTCAAAGATTTCATTATTTATTCCTCAAGGGTGACATTTACATTTTGATTCTTAGTCTAATCGGTGATAGATGTAGATGTCTCTGGGACGTAGCATCCACTTACCATTAGGTGAACTGTGTGCTCCATTACTCTTATTAAAAAAAACATACTACTGTATCAGTGCGTAAATTCGAAGTATGTATATGTTATTGTGAATACATACATAAGTTAAATATTAAGATGATCTTTTTAGTAACATCCGCATGCAGAAGTTAAGACCACAAGTAAAGATCACAATCAAATGTTTGTGCCGTGTAGGCGGCGTAAGAACCCGCTGTCCTATTTTTTAAATTTAGAATGCACTTATGCAGGTCGAAAAAGACCAGTGTCACAGGGATTTATAAAATCTATTGTGATCGCTGCTATGGCTATAGTTCACCCTTAAGCTTTATTTCTCCAATGAATTGAAAAAGTTGCTTAGCTGTTAGCATTTTCACTTCTTCTGGGTTAAGTACGTATAATGTTAGTAAGCATCAGCGATTCGCGCAGGTGTACTGCGTAGGCCCACCGTTGGGCGCGCTGTGCGCTACAGCGCTGTACCGCTGCGTGTGGTGCGCCCCACCAGCCGCAATCCCACGTGGTTCCGCGATACTTCGAGCCACACCTGCGCACACACACCGTCCCTAGTACCTACCACCCAAACTGCTGCTGTCTGTCTGGCCGGAAGTGTAACCTGAGCTATATCATAGATCATAATACAATGTGTAAATTTTTTAAAAGAATAGGGGTAAAAAACGAGCGCACAGTTCACCTGATGGTAAGTGGATACTGTGGCCCATAGAATTAAAATGCAGATGCCTTTTTTCCAGTAAAAAGGCAGTTTCCAGTTGAAATGGCAAAAACTAGATTAAAATGGCAAAAAATAAAAATGGTGATTTGAGCCATACGATTATGCCGAACATGGCATAATCGTATGTGTAAAATGTGTTTTGTTTTAGTTATTTTTGTCTTGTTACGCTAAAGAAGTATAACTTCTTACGTGCGTACATAAGTACATACACACGTTTATTTTTATTTACCGCTGGTTCGGAAAATACTTCTGGGAAGAACCAGCAAGAAACCCAGCGGGACTTTTTTTAAACATATTTCACTTTCCAATAATTTTGTAAATATCATCATAAATCAGCATTATCGTTACAGCCTTCCACTGCTGAACATAGGCCTCCCCCAACTAATGCCACAAAGCACGGTCCTGAGCCACCTGCATCCATCGACTTCCTGCATGTCTTATCAGATCGTCATCTAATGGGGGGTCGCCCTACACTTCGCCTACTGGTACGAGGCTGCCACTCAAAAACCTTTCTCTCACATCGGTTGTCAGTTCTTTGAGCTATATGGCCGGCCCATTGCCACTTATGCTTGCTAATCCGTTGGGCTATGTTGGTCACTGTGGTTCTACTGTGGATATCCTCATTTCTAAGTGTATCACGCAGAGACACCCCGAGCATAGCCCTCTCCATTACCCGCTGAGTGACCTTGAGTTTCTTCATACGGCCAGCAGTGAAGGAACTCGTATCAGACCTATAGGTCATCACTGGCAATCTCGTTTTCAAGTTTTGAGGTGTACCTGACGAGAAGATGTGCCATATTTTCCCGAACGCTGCCCTGCCGAGTTGAATCTCTCGATTGACCTCTCGGTCGAAGTTGGACTTACCTAGTCGGACTATTTGTCCCAGGTAAACATACTCGTCAACAACTTCGAGCTTAGTGCTCCCAACAACTACCGGCATAGGTGTGACATAGACGCTACACATTATCTTTGTTTTGTCCATGTTCATCTTAAGTCCTATCCGTTGGGGGGCACTATTGAGGCCATTGAGGATAGTGCTTAGGTCCTACAGCGATTCTCCCATAAGAACTATATCGTCGCAAATCAAAGGTGATTGTTGTACTTGCCATCGATGTTAATACCGTATCCTTTCCAGTCCAGTAACTTGAAAACATCCTCCAATGCAGCGGTGAAGAGTTTCGGGGATATAACGTCACCCTGCCTTACACCTCTCTGCAATTGGATAGGTTTCGTACTCTGGTTCTGTACTCGGATAGCCATCGAAGATTCAACGATGGTTGCCCTACTGTACAAACACTTTAGCACTTCGATATACCGACAGTCAACTTAGCACCGCTGAAGGGCCTGTAGCACCGCCCAAATTTCGACGGAAAGGAAGGCTTTCTCATAGTCCACATACGCCAGACATAGTGGCAAATTGTACTCCTCGACCTTCTGTTTAATTTTCTGAAGGGTATGTAAGGTATGTAAGGGTCTATGGTGCTAAAGCCTTTTCGGAAACCGGCTTGTTCGGGAGACTGGAAGTCGTCGAGTCTGCATGCGAGACGATTCGTAATGACTCTTGAAAACAGCACGTACACGCGGCTAAGAAGGGAAATCGGTCTATACTTCTTCAAGAGAGCGTTGTCGCCTTTCTTTAATAACAAGACCGCCGCACTTCTGCTCCAAGCCTTCAGTGTAGTGCTACCATGGAGGACGGAATTAAAGAGCTCCTGAAGGACTTCAAATACCAGTTTTCTACTTGCTTTCAGAAGCTCCGCTGTAAATCCGTCCTTGCACGGGGATTTACCGTTTTAAAGATGCTGGAGAGCCATTCTAATTTCGCTCAGACTGACGTCGGGAATATCATCGGAATAGTGTCAGATAAGACTTGCTCTTGGATCGTTACTCACACTTGCGTGTGGCTCCAACGATGATGTATACAGCTGTCCATAGAACCTCTCAATCTCACTCAAAAATCTCAGGTGTTTCGGAAACAATGCTGCCACACTCTGTCTTCAGCTTCGACAGTTGGCTTTTTCTGGCAGACAGATTTCTGGCAAAGACTTTAGAGCTCTGATTCCGCTTAATCGCTTCTTCAATACGACCTGAGTATAGCTCGTATTGAAGAAGCACTTACGCAACGCAACTTCAACTACAGGTTGCGTAAGTCTCGCCGCATGTATTTGGAATTCTGTCTGTTCAGTTGCCTATATTCTGTAAAATCTGCTGAAGACTGCAGCTTCATTTCCCGTCTAGCAGCCATGAGATTGAGAGTTTGATCTGAGAGTGTTTGTGTTCTGTTACGGCGGGTCTTGTAGAACTTAGCTCCGACCACATGGACATATTCCACGAGCTTGTCATTCATATCGTCCACTACCTTGAAATCTTCTAGGCATTGAAATCGATTATGTAACTGAAGCTGAAAGTTTTCGGGACTTTGGATTAGAGCACAAGGAGGACGGAGGGTTGACTTCATTAGACGTAACCTCTCCGACTTAACGTTTAGGTTCAGTGTGCCTGTCACCATTCGGTAATCTCTGTCGGTTTTCACTCTTACGATCAATGAGACATCACTGAAAAGTTGTCGTCTAGTCGTCATAATGAAGTTAATCTAATTTTTTGTTGAACTGCCGGGGCTCGACTAGGTCCACCCTGTGGGGCCGCTTCTGGAAAAAAGAGCTCATTATAAAGAGTCCCTCTTTCTCCATGAAGTCGGCCAGCTGTTGGTCCCTTGGTTTCCGTTGCCCTATTCCAAATTTCCCTACCTTCAGCTCACCGTTCTCTCTTGTGCCTAGTTTTGTGTTGAAGTCTGCCATTAACACCGTATAGTGGGTTTTGGAGGAATGCATGGCTATAGATATTTCCTCCACCTAATCGGGATGTGCCGAGGTTGGTGCGTAAACCTATATGACCTTTAGCGAATACCGTTTGGTAATTGTGAGTATAGGGTACGTAACCCTCTTCAACACACTCCCAATCTTTACAAAGTTGCTAACGAGAGACTTGTGGTCGATAAATCCGACATCTCTTTGGGACAGATGGTCGTCCTCCTGGTGATAGAACAAGATGCCGGATTCAATGATTACCGTAACTTCCCCCTGTCTTCGAACCTAGAATAGTTCTAAAATATTCCGGCGTAACTTGTCCATCTGTTCTTCTAGCTCCAGGATCTTCTCGTCGGTCCTCAGGGTGCGAGGTTGAGTCCTCTTAGGTGGTAACCGCAATTAATGCATAACGTATAAATATTGGTTATAGATAAATTATCTAACATCGTAAGATATCTAGACATTACATTATTATGATCTTAAGTATAAATATTGTTTTTTGTATTCAGACTCGAATCATTGCAAAAAGAACTTTTATCAGGTACCGTACCGTCATTATTGTAATTTAATTTATATCTTATTTCACTTCTTTTCTTGTGCCTCAAAAGCAGTCTTCAGTTATAAAAAATATACAAGAAAGACGTTTATTTCATTGTTTCTGCTAGAAATATCGGTGATGATTTGAATAAGATATGGTTTTTTGTTTTATTATTTATCCATTCAATATAGCACAACCGCATTTGTTCTTTATTACCGCACACAAAACTACCGCACGACAATAGTCACCTTTTTATTATTCGGAAAGTAAGCAAGTGACCATAAAGATATGTTACCATCCTGAGAATTTCTGTAAAACCTACATAAGGTACAAAACGTATATATTATAAATTAAGTTATTTTCTGCTATTCATAAATTTTTTGATATTATGTATAGAGAACCGGAGCCCCTTATTACTGGAAACGACGCATTCAATTTTTTTCATATTAGCCATCCTCAGTGGCGACAACGAATTCTGCAGTTTGATACTTAATTGACAGTAGATGTAGATTTAGATAGTGGGCTCATTTGCCAGCCTTATTCTATAAAAAAATTCATACATTATCATACATTTTCTCAGGAATCATTTCATTACTTATAACCACTCTTAAAATGTATTTCAGTTGACATTCATCAAGAAGCAATAAGCAAATTCTATAATAAATCTTAAAATATCGTGAGCTACTTAAGTAGTCCTATCTAATAGTTGTAGAATTATTATTTATTATAAATAAAAAAATATATCTTATAATTAAATTTGTTTTATGTAATTTTATGTAAAATAAAAATTTACGGAAAGTTTGTTGTTTTATTTTTTTATTAAAGATGTTAAAGTTGATTAGCTTAGATCCGAGTAAAAAAAAATATTTTTTATTCTTTACGCCGAACTTAGCTAATCAACTTTAGGCCACCCCCAAGGAATGCCACAAAGCACGGTCCTGAGCCACCTGCATCCATCGACTTCCTGCATGTCTTACCAGGTCGTCACTCCACCTAGTGGGAGGCCGCCCTACACTTCACCTACCGGTATGAGGCTGCCTATTGAGAACCTTTCTTCCCCGTCGTTTGTCGGTTCTTCGAGCTATGTAGCCGGTCCATTGCCACCGTACTTCAGCTTATTAATCCGTTGGGCTATATTGGTTACTCTAGTTCTACTGCGGATATCCTCATTTCTAAGTTTATCATGCAGAGGAACCCTGAGTATAGCCCTCTGTATAGCTCACTGAGTGACCTTGAGCTTTTTCATACGGGCAGAAGTGAAGGATTACGTCTAAATTATCACTGGCAACATGCACTGGTTGTACAATCTTGTTTTCAAGTTTTGAGGTACATATATCTGACGAGAATATTTGTTGTGATCTCCTGAACGCTGCCCAGCTGAGTTGAATCCGTCGATTGACCTCTCGCTCGAAGTTGGACTTACCTTATTTGCCCCGGGTAAACATACTTGTCAACAAATTCGAGCTTAGTGCTTCCAAAAACTACCCGCATAAGTGTGACATGGACGTTACACATGATTTATTTATTTATTTATTATATAAATATAACATCATTACGGCTATATTAACCAATGCGATGCTATAACTAACCTCATGGTAAGAAAACTACTGACTTGTAAATAATGACTATAAAATAATGAATAATGAATAGTAACATTAACATGATTATAAAATAAAATACTAATTAAAAAAATTACAATTTTCAACGCATTTGCGAACTTCGTCTGACTACATGTAAATATGTCAATATCCTGTGAGATGATATTAACGTAGTGTATGGCACGTGTCAATGGTGCATTCTGAAGCAGCTTCGTCCTAGCAGTGGGCACGAGGAGTAACGGGGCGCGCCGACAAAAACACACGTAATTATCAGGTACACGTAGCTTTAGCGTAGCGAGCACATCTGGGTGATGTATCCATCCACGTAATACGTTCCACACATATTTAATTTTATTTATTTATTTATTTATTTATTGCACCAACAAAGTACACACTGTTACATACAAAAATATCAGAAATACAAAAAAAAAACATATAAAGTGCTACTTCAATTATAGGCGCAAACAGCATTCTCTGAAAGTCACGTACATTAACTTATTTTATGAAGAAATTTAATTTATTTATGTTAAAATGAATGCATTTTTATAAGGAAGTTACTATACAATTAATTAACTTATTAGCAATATTAACAACAACAAAAATAAAATTTAACTATATCACTATATAATAAGCGCGATGTCTCTCCTCACACTCATGCAGCTGTAGCCGACAGTACAAATAGACTCAGATACATCAGTGGAAAACTAGGATAGATTCCGTACTGCTTGAAATATAAAAATCGTGAAAATTTATTTAAAATTTTTTCGATCATGACACTATATTTACTTTCATGTGGATTCCAAATAATGACATTAATTTCAAGTTGACTTCTTACGAGAGCATTATATAAAATCCTAATAGTAAGTAAATTCCGATAATCCCTGCACTGCCTTAAGATAAAGCCAAGATTCCTAAAAGATTTTTTACAAATATTTAAAAAGTGATTACGAAAATTAAGTTCCGGGACCATCTCGACGATCTTTCGAGACTCGTAAGGAAATTCCAAAACTTCTGGATCCTCTTTTATATTATTTGTACCCTATACTGATATGCCTCGTAAACACATCTTATTTCATTTTTAACTACTGTACAATACCGAAAAAGATTCATAACCCGATCGAGATCCCGTTATTTTAAATAATTTATGATATTTCCATATGAGCATTATATCAAATATTAAATGAATTGTATACCAATCAGGGTAAGTATACTTCGTGTTATAATTACATAATTTACGTTTCTTCCAAGGCACACATTTACTAATCTAATTTTTTACATTATCGTAGAAATAAGACAAGGAGGATTTAGCATCCTCTAACAGATATAACGAACTCCAGTCAATTGAATTTAATAAATGATATAATTCGAAGAAGTCACATTTCCTAAAATTCCAACTAGAGCTTTCAATTAATATATTATTATCATTCTGTTTATTATTAATCATACTGAAAGAGGATCGCCCACTCCTCGCGTCCACTGCCGTCATTTTTATGGTCAGAGGTGGGTGCTGCTCGTCAATATTAACTAAAGACTCACCAGATAGTAATACCTCCACGTCACCTACCGGCAAAGTTGTTCATACCAAATCTAGAATGCGATTGTTTATATTAAGCACTTCATTTACCTTACGAAATCCACAACATGCTGTAACACACCACAAAATAGTTTTGTATTTCTAATGTCGAAGAAGGCATGTTAAAATCTCCGATCACTAGCACTTTGTCATATTTAGTACACTCCTTTTCTTTTTCTTATTTTGATGTCATCAGAAAAATGCTGCTGCCCATCTCCTGCCTCATTTTCACTCTATCGCCTCTAACGACGCCTACGGGAAAACATGTGGTAGTGGATATTCTTACACCGCCACTACACGGCATTACCTAATTAAATCACCATAATAACGCACACTACCTGCTACCCCAAGGAGTACTCCTAATTCAGAGGACTCCGTATTTCTTCTCAAGCGACTTTAGTGTTATCTAAGGGTCACTATTTGGTGAATAGCACTTGCTTTCCCCTCAATAATAATTTTCATTGTATAAAAATTATGGAGCATGTATCATGTGTATCGGCGGTCGAATCTTTCAGCTGTGCATCGTAAAGGCCTATATAAGTTTATTTTGCAATATACGGTCAAATTTGCAGAGAAGGATCAGAATAACTTATCTAGCAGAATGGTGAAGAAAAATGTATTAAAAAAATCTCAAACATTCTGTCTTTTTTGATCTTTTAAATTCAGATTGCGTGGTAATGCATTGTTTTAACTGATTATCATTCATATATTTCCAATGCCTACTATTTTAATATACACACACACACATACAAGCACATTCGTAAGGGTTGCTCGGTTACAAACTCCCGTTAACTGTTACACCGCTAGATACCTACGCCCACCGGGTCGGCCGACAGCTGACAGTGTTGGCTGTGATCTCGTTACGTACATGTGTGCTTTTTTCCATGAGGAAATGCCTATGCATACCCGCCTCGCGTGGGCAAGGACGGATTATGTCGGAATCGCACCGACTAAATCCTCTTTGTTCACCGCGGGTGACCAAGCCACGGCTACTAAGCCCCCTGAATGCTTTTCGTTACCAATGAAGAAACGAAAATTTTCGGACCGCGAATACTATAAAACTATGAAATGGTGTGGTATTACATTTTAAGCAATGAAAGTTTACGTGGTGCGCAAAGATTATAGAGTCTTTGTCGTGGCAAGAAATTAACGTACGTGTTGACAACTAATCAAACTATTCCAGTGAAGTAAGCGATAATTTAAATAGTGATCACGGTTAGACTTTTATCTTTGGGGTGAAATAAAAAGTCGTGTTTACGTCAAAGAGGCCCAAACCTGTGAGGATCGCCACAGTAAAATTATTATTAGAAGTTAAAATTCTAAAGCACAGGTAATAAGATTAAAGAATAATTTAAAAGAACGTGCTCGCCATGTTTTATTATTCATATGCATTTCTCTCTGTGCAAATGAATAATAAAACACGGATTCCATTTTGAGGTATCTATATTAGTTATTGGGATTACTTGCGTTATTTAGTTGTAACTAGTTTATTCCAATTTTTTAAATACGCAATAATAATGACAGTCATCGGTTACGTCGTTGATAATCAAAATTTTTTTTTAATTTTATTTACTATGACGATCCTATGCCTGTTAAAATTGTAAAAGGAAATTTGCAATCATATTTCCCGTCTTGTAGTTATTAACTTAAGCATTAGTAGAAAACGTGTCACTAAGAAAGTAAACAGTAGGCCAAAACTTGAGAAACGAAAATGTTAATTGAATCGCACACACAGCAGCGCGCGTTCGTGTAGTTGTTGAACATAAATCACACTCAATTTGGGATAATTTCAAATAAAAGTAGAAGCCTTATTTACTCGTATTTTCAAAAACTGTAATATCGGTATATATTTGAATTTAAATATAAAATGTGGCTACTCTTTGGAAAATAACCACGTATAATATAACAGTACCACAGGTCACGTACAAAAAGCAAAGGAAGGTGATAAAGACAAAAAATCATATGATGGCGTGTTATGACGGCGTAACAGAATCCATCACCTCATTTCGTTCTGTGAGTGTATAAGTGACGGATATGGGATGTGCCAGGATCCTATGATTTCCAATAGATCGCGGTATAACTAATTCTTGACTGGCGATGAGCTGCAGCGTCAACGCTGCGAGAGGTCTGGTACTTCGATTGTTAATCCCAGCGATTGGCTTTAACAAGCCTTGATACAACGGTTGACCTAGACGATACGGGCTAATAAATAAGCAAGACTTTTTTATAGGGTAGGGTGACAAACGAGCACACAGTCCACCTGATGGTAAGTGGATGCTGTGGTCCATAGACATCTACATTTATCCTCGTTTGCGAATCAAAATGCAGACGCGTTGTCACCCGTGAGGATTAAGATGGAATGCCTCTTTTCTAGTAAAAAGGGTCTCCGATTCTCTACACTCACCATACGAAACACAGCAGTGTTAAGCTGGTATTCTGTGAGAGCATGGTCCTTCACCGGTCGAGCCGACCCATTCGTGCTACAACTATACTACTTATATAACTGCAGCATGGCTCTACCACGTAAAAAAGACTGTGGTATATAGTCTGGAATGTACATTATATAGTTACCGATTCCATTAGTCTACATAGAACAAAGTTAAATAATTATTGTGCATACTAGT